ATTTTGAATATATTCAGATTTTTATTTAATGACTTTTTTTATAAGGTAGAAGAAAGATATAGGCATATTTCTTTTTTTTTAATACAAAAAGTAAAGAAATAGCCATATAGCATTATTTTGAAAAAAGATATATATAAAAAAAAAACAAATAAAATTTGTGTATAGGTTCATAGGATCAATTAGTCTCTCCAATCAAAATTAGATATTCACTTTGATAATATTCATTTACATTTAATTCAACCTTAAATAATATATGTATATATATATATATATATATATATATATATATATATATCAAAATTAAAACTCATTCATTTTATAAGGACTAAAAACATATTTTAGTTATATACAATTATTAACAAGTGATCATTAATGTCATGAGATTATTGGAGTGTTTAATAGTTGTTAACTTTGTCTCATAGGTCATTAATATTATTATTTAGTTATTGATTATCACACCTTCATTAATATGTAATTTTTTTCTCACAAATGGTTAAAAGTAAGCAAACATAACTATATATGATTAGTGTTGTAATTAATAATAATAATATTTCAAGAACATTCAAATGTCTAATAGTTGTTAATTCATTTTTTTTAACTATGATAATGAAATGAAATATTTTTTTTTTCTAAAAAAGTGTCTAATCTAGTTGGGGAACATAAGTGTGCATATGACAAATATTCTCCTTCAAATATAATCTCTTCCATACTCAAAGTTAGAATTTGAACACTGAACAAATTAGCCGGATACTAATTTTACTTAATGAATAATTAATAGTGTCATATAGTTTTAGTATATTTAATAATATTAACTTTATCTTATTAATCACATTCATGGTTATATATAATTATGTTTATTTATTATTAACAATTAGCGATTAAGAAAAGGTATTTGAAAATACATTATTATGACTAGCAAAAAAGACACTTTGTACTTATTTTTATTTTATATAAAAAAATAAATAATAATAATAATAATAATTAAAGTTAAAATGTCTGAGTGATTAATAATTAGAGAGTGGACAATTTTTAATAGTTATTTCAAGGATATTTTAAGTTAGGAAAATAAAATTACAAACAAATAAAGAATTAAAATAAAATAAAATATAGTATGAAAGTTAAGAGGCAAAATGATTAACGTAAATGTATATAAAAAATAAAAATAAATAAAGACATTTCGTCTTTACTGATAGTATAGGTGTGATTATTGATTTTAAAATAATTATTTTAAAAGTTATATTTAAGAAGAATTTTTAATCCATTAAATAAATAAACTCTAACAATAGAAGAAAAATAGCCTTAAAAAAGGTATAAGAAAAAAAATAGCATTGGTCAATAAACATTATTTATACTAGCGAAAAGGCTAGTATTGTGTTGTCTCGGTTCACATTTCTTAAAATATTTTTTAGAAATAGAATACAAATAAATTTCAATTTTCAAATTATTTTCCTTAAAAATTCTTTGGATCAATAAGACCATTTTATTCACAGCCACCTATGAATCCCATGTGGTCGAAAATTAGAGTGCATTCTTTTTCTTTTTCCTTTTTTTTTTTTAATTCATTTTACATGCTGATATAAAACAGGGAATGGGAGTTGATGATTCGCTATTCCACAACGTCACCGACCAGTGGTTGTGGGCCACGTGGAGGCACGACGGTGATGAGTTAAAGGTGCCTCTTTACGTAAAAGGGTGCAAAAATGGACATTAAGTGGGTGACCTCCACGTGAGATCAACCCTTTACTGGGTCCCTCTTACCATACTTAATTATCAAAAACAAAAGAAAATAAAATAAAAAATGGATATTTTAATTTGACTAATGTTGTGTTTTTTGCGTTTGGCTTTTGACTATTTCGTTCTGTTAGTTCTTCGGATCTTACGCCTTCTCTCACGAATCTAGATGTTGGCAAGGATATGCTTGGACATTGTAAAAGCAGAAATATTTAAATTTCTGGGGAATCAAAATTGGCTTGATGGAAAAGATTAGGAATTGTCCTTTACGAGTCCAACATTAGGGATCAGTGTCTTTCAAAAGCTTACAAGTTGGGGGTGATTCACAAGGGACCTTTTTTTAAGTCAAACTCACTTATACGTATTCAGATGCTTTTAGTTTAATTCATACATGATGTGTTTATTAGGTTTTCTTTGTAGATCTTTTGACTTGTGTTAATAAGATAATATGATGCTGTTTCACTTACTAAGGAAGTTATACTCTTGTACAACAGAGTGATTATTTTATATACTAAATTATCCAAGGTTTAAAAACTCTTTTCATACTCTTTAAAAAATTGTATCTTGTGAATTTAAATAATGCAATAACTATTATCATAAATAATTATATTCTTTTATATTAGTTCCATTAGCAAAATTATGTAATCTAAAATGTTATTTTAAGTCATTTAAAAATCAATCTTTATATATTAAATATAAATTTTTATATTGCATGAAAACTTTTTAAAAAAAATTTCTTCATTAAATTTTTTAGAATTTTTTAACTTTTTATCTAATTAAATTTTTATTTAATATAATTACTTATAAATTAAATTTTAATACTTGTAAAATAAATTATCAATAAATAAAAATATTATTCTACAATATAAATTATTTATCATAATTTTAAAATATAATTTATAATTTTAAAAATATCTATTTATATAAATTTTAAACATAATTTATATATTCAAATATTTTTATTTACTTCTATGTATAATTTATTTAATTTTTGGTAATATATAATAAATATTTAATCTCTGCATTACACAGGCTAAAATACCAATAAACTTATTATTTATTTAAAAATAGTTACAAATTAGAAGATTAATTAAAATTATTATACTAATCTTGAAAAATATTTTAAATTCTAGTAAATATTATAATATAGAAAATATTAATTTAATTCAAAGTAAAGATAATACCAACATAATTAATACATCACTAAAAAAAATTATACTTAAAAATTCAAATTCATACGTTGCCTTTAAAATATTAAAGGTACTTGTAACTGTTGTTATTACTAAACGATTATAAAATTAAAATTACTCAAACCTTATATGAAATTGATTATATTAAAAATTAGGTTGAACAAATTTATCATTTCTTATATTAAGAGTAAAATACTAGAAATAGCTAAAAGAAACTAAATTTCAATAACTTTTAGCCCATAAGAAAAAATAAAATAAAAATTGATGAATCATACCAAGTTAAACTTCGAATATAAATTCTGTATAAGGCTGAAATTTCTAACAAGCCTAACCATCCACAACACCATTCTGTTCTTGCATAACCACACTAAAAGAAAATAGGCCACTGTACAATATCATCTTGTGCTATAAAAAATAAAAATTAAAAACCTATTTTGGTCCCTTATAATAATTATTTATTTCAATTTAGTCCCACTTTTATTTTGTCTCAATTTAGTCCCTAATAAATTAATTGGTTGCAATGTCAAACTTTCGTCCAAATTATTTAAACAGAGTTAACCGTTGACCACATGGATGTCACGTGAATGCTACGTAGATATATAGGTGGATGCCAAATTTCACTAATGCATCTAGAACCAGAACAACCCATTCTGAAACCAGAACGGCCCGTTCTGATTTCAAAACGGGCCGTTCTGGTTCCAGAATGTCAAACACAAACGGTCGATGATTATAGTTCACGGTTGTGAATTATGCAAGGAAAAAGACCCAAGGTACAAAACATTTCAAACACTTGATTTGATAATATTGTCAATGGGGATTGATAACTTCAATTGCTAAATAATTAGACTAACAATATATTATTAAGGACAATGCAGTGTATTACTAATGGTAGCAAGTTTTATTTCATTGTTGGTCAAACTGGAGTGAACCACTTACTACCAAATTAACACTATATAGTCCAGGATGAAACGACATGATATTTTCCCTTGAATTCATTGACTGATGTACCCTAACAACATGTTCTTGAAGAAGTACAACCTGAAGTAAAGGAAGAGGATACACAAGACCAACATTTCACCACACAACCACATGTACAGGTAGATAATGCTGATATCCTATCAGTCATCCAATGTTATATGGTAAATAAGATGTATTATTGACACCTTCAGCGTTATCCAGATGATTTCCCTTCTCAATAATTTCTTTGAACTTTTTTAGTATATATTATGTTATGTTATAAATTTTTTTTTTCAGTCTCTGAACCATATTTCTGTCTTTGAATTTATGATATGTTAGGAATTTTTATTTTCAATTTTTGAATCACATTGCGACATTTTGTTGAACGTACGTATGTGATTGACATTTTGGAACGGCCCGTTCTGAATCCAGAACGGCCCGTTCTGCTACAGTCGTGGTGTGTTAATTTTGCATATAGAACAACCCGTTCTAAATACAAAATTAACACACAACATGTGCAACCAGAACGGGCCGTTCCAATTTCAGAACCGGCCGTTCTGGTTCCAGTTGCATTAATGAAATTTAACATCCACCTATGCATCTACGGGACATCCACGTGGCCAACAGTTAACTCTATTTAAATAATTTGGACGGAAGTCTAACATTGCAACCAATTAATTTATTAGGGACTAAATTGAGATCAAAAATAAAAGTGAGACTAAATTGAAACAAATAATTATTATAAGGGACCAAAATAGATTTTTAGCCAAAAATAAAATGAAGTTTTTCATCAGGGCTGAACACAACCCAACCCCCCAAGAATAAAGAAATACAAAGCATCAGCTCCACTGAGACCCGAAAAATAAACTCGAAAAAGTTGCAGTCTACTGGCTCCTTCTGAAAGGACTAAACAAATAACCCATAATGATTTCACATCTCCAGCCCTCATAATGGCTCCAAGTAGTTACCTGTTTTTTCACTAAAGAAGTGTAGTGTTTCTTGATACACAAACAATAAGATAACCTCTGACATGTACCATTTAAGAGACTTAAATGGTTACAAACTAGTAATATCAAAATATTTGCAGACACCAATGGCAGATGCATACATCAGAAATCTTGTATTCACAAAACTTTGAATTGGCTTTTGCTCATAAAAATGATTCCTATCCCAGTTATCTAACAGACTAATAATACATTCACTAATCTAGCAGAACAAAAACAAAGTGTTCCTCTGCACAAGGGCAGGCAGAACAAGACAAAAAAAGAGGGAAAGTAGGGGGGAGGGGGTTTACAAGGAAAGAAGAGACGACCCTGTACACATACCTCTATATTCGTCTCTTTACAGAGAAAATGGGATAAAACCCTCTAAAAAACAGTGGTAATATACAAGACCTTTGAAACAAGAATAAAGTAAGCAATGATGCCTACCAATACAATTTTTCCTAATCTTTAAACAGGACCTAGAGAAAACAATGGATATCTATCTCCATATATCCCAAAGCCTCATGTATGACCGCTTAATCTGCACAAAAATCATAACAAAAACTAAGCCTTTCATTCTGCCAGAAAAAAAAAAAATAGACAACTACACCAGAAAAGAAAAATCAAAGGCCAGATAGCATATAACTGATGCACAATTAATAGTAACCTTGGATCTTGAGCAATACGTATTAAAAAAGAATAAATTTCATCAGTGGATTTTCTCTAGGAAAAAACAATCGCCACATGCCATAACAAAATTGAAGTCTTTTTTTCATTTCATTTGCCTGGAAAGAATTTGATACACATACAAGAAAAGAAAAACCAAAGGCTACATCCAATTTGCATCCAACACGTATTATACAAAAGAATAAAATTCATCAGCGGATTTTCAATAGGAGAAAACAACCATCACATCCCTTTATGTTAGTCCAAAGAAACTATTTGCAACTAAAAAATCCAGTGGTCATTTGAGAGGAACAAAATGATAGTGGAAGGGAAGTGAAATTATGCCCGTAAAGGCAGAAGTAGGGAGGAGTCGAACATGTAAATGTGGTTGAAGATTGCGTGCAAAAATAACAAAATAGATCGGTGTCAATGGGAGAGAGAAGGATTATATAATGGGCACTGTAACCGAAGAGGGGGTACAAGGAAATTGGTATCAATATTGGCTAGGCCGGGAAGAAGTTCAGGAAAGGGGTTCTCAAGTTCTTTTTCTTATTTTCTTGGGTTGCATCCTGGCAACAGAGGTTTATACCTCTAATATAGCTCAAATTAAGTATCAAAATTACTTTAGTTTTATCATTCCAATAAGAAAAATATGCATATAAAAAATACCATGGTCATTTACATACATACCACCATCATAGTTATCAATCTCGGGTGGTAGAACAAAGGGGGTGCCCTAAAATGGCAATAGCAGGATAGCAAAAATGGGGATGCCTCATGGCTTTTATTTTAATATTATAGCACAAACTAAATAATTTATACCTTGCATACAAGTACTCAAAATAAATAAATAAATAAAGACATTCAGGATAAATAAGTCACAGTTTACACTCAAACCATCAATCCAGGAGCAATAAGAATGTAAGAATAAAGTCAACATAAAGTTGATGGTGAAATTATTCAGGGGGGTGGACAGAACACATTAGATAAAAATTACGAAAACGAGAACTGTTCATTGTGAAGAAAGAAGAAAGAACAGAACCAAACAAAACAAAAAAACAGACATATGTAAGCTCTGAAGTGTTAACAGAACATGGTCAGTGGCCAGAAAGGTTTCTAATCTAAAACAAATAGCAGGTTAACAAAACAGGAGAGAAATCATAAGTTCCCCCACCAAACAAAAATAAATTTCAAACTATAAATGATTTCATATACCTCTATTGACCAGCTCACACAATTTTACCTCTTCCCTCCGTGAAAAAGATTAAATAAAATATGTACTTCAATAGTGACTAAATTTTCCTGACACAAGGCAATAGAAAATAAAAATACCTGTACAATGGTGATAAAAGGGCATACAGATTCCAATTCTGACAGAGCCGAGCACACTCCGCTGCTCCATCCATTAGAAGTCATCATTCCACTTTTGAATTAGGAGGACAGATAAGCAAACTGCTCTGCCCTGGTTGCATATGTTGCACTTGTTGCTGAGCTTGGCGTTGCAATGCTAGACCTTTGGGAGAAAGCTGTTCCTGCTCCTGTTGCTGCTGCTTATGTTCTTCTGGAGGTTCATATGACTTTTGAGATAGAATAGGTTGTGATGAAGTTTGTTTAAGGGGCGGTTGTTGTTGCTGCCACTGTCCCCCAGAATTATGTGCATGAGAAGGTAAGCTAGTTGATAATTGTTGTGGGCCCATCCCTTGACTAATAGTTGATGGCTCATTTCCAGCAGAATTTCCAACGGGTGTACTCCCAAGAAAGCTCGCTTGAGTAACTGGATTGGACACACTGGAATCAAATGGTGATTCTGATGTCTGCCACTGAGAAGATACAGTAGGAGGAACAACAGTTACACTTGCTGCATCCATACAACCTGGAGATGTTACAGTGTTTGAACCAACTTGTGAAGCACTGTTTGCAGGATGTTGATCAATGTTAGTTGAATCAGATTGAGACATGCTTGACGACTCAGAATGCACCTGACAATTTGGTTGCAACATTCTCTGAACACTTGGTTGAGCTTGATTACTTTGCTTACAATGTGGCTGAGATTGTAATGGCAGTTGATGATGGTTAGAAGCAACAGCTGGCTGTGGAGTTGAAGCTATATGGCCTGAAGTAACTGACAAAACATGTCCTTGAATTCTATTATCAGAAGGAGATGCCACTGACTGAAGTTGTTTCAATGAAGTGTTTGTTGGACCAGAATGTAGCTTTTGCTGCAACTGTGAATGATTTGAAGAACGGGCAGAAACCAACGGCTTGGATGACTGATTTGGATTACCAGATCCAGGATGTATGTTTTGACTTTGCATCATGGGGGGCATGATTTGGTCCCCTTTCTCAACAGTTTGGCTTCCTGGAGGTACAGATAATCCATTTAGATGAGAAGGATCCACAGAGTTATTCTGATGGATCAACATGTTTCCTCTCCCTAGTCCTTTCAGAACTTTTGTCTGCTGTTGAGACTGTGCATGTTGTGGCTGATTAGGATGCTGCCTACCAGGTTGTGGAAACTGCCGCTGCTGTGGCTGTCGTTGCCGTTGTTTTGTGGCTTGATTAGTCAATGCACTAGCACTAGGATTCCGGCTGAAACCATGTTGTAGGTGATGTTTCTGCTGTTGGTGCTGAGAAGACATGGGAGTCAAAGGGGATGTCGATGTTACAGGGGAAAGAGATACTTGCTGCGATGAATTTTGAGGTTGTGCCTGGGAACTATTTTGCAGAGGTGATGATATAGGAAGTTGAGACTGTGCCTGAGCATGCGGAATCAAAGCATTCGATGCAGCAAGCTGCTGTTGTTGTTGTTGGTGCTGCAGATACCGTTGTTGTTGGTGTTGCAGTTGACGTTCCTTTGCAAATCGGATTGCATAGGCCTGTTGTGAATTAGCAGCAGCATGATTCGGACCTTGAAGAGGATGGGGATTACTGAGATGGGACTGTTGCTGAGATAGTTGATGTGGCTGCTGGGAATGTCCTGGGTATGATTGAACAGATGGTGGAGTTGTCTGATTATTAAAGGAAGAACTCATCCCACTAAAGGCAGGAATGACTTGGCTGTTCCCTTGTG